CAAGCACCTCACTTTCCTTAGGGTAAATAGGGACTAGAAGAGTCAGGGACAGGGGCAGAGGGAAAATGTTGGTGGTAGTTGTCAGGACAAGAAGAAAGTGCTTAACTTGAAGTAGATTCGGGGTCAATGCAGAGGCTAGGAAGCAGGGAGGGTAAGACCACACCAAATGTTTCGGGGTTTTGGAGTTCCAAGGATCATTTACTGCAGAAGCAATAACTTCAAAAACAAGTACTTTAAAACAGCACTGTCTTATTGATGGTACTTCTGTGGGTCACAGTTTGGTCAGTTCTGCCCACATGGTATCAGTGGAGGTCACTTGATGGTCAGCTGATAGGTCGGCTGCTCTATAGAGTTCATGGTGACTTCAGTGTTCTTTGGCTGCTTGCCAAGGCTAGCAGGCCAGGCTAAACTGTGTTGCATGCCTGTCTAGACTAGAGTACATATGTTTTCATGCTTGCTTTAGCATGGCACTCCCAGGGGAGTGGAGTTTCCCAAGGGAGCCAGGCAGAAACTGCAAGACTTTTCCATGCTTGGCTTGGGAAGTTTTAGACTGTCAGCTTTCTCTTCATCCTGTTGGTGAGATAGTCACAAGTCAGTAGAGACCAGCCCTGATTTAGAGAACAGAGAATTGTGGTCCTATTTAACCTACCATGTGGTGTTCATTGGCAAGAGAACCAACGAGATTTTCAGGAAATAGGGGTAGAAAGGTGCTAGGTGTATGACATATGATCAAATGGGGCAGAGAGCAAATGATCCTGGGCTGAGGGAATAGGCAAGTTCTAGAAGTCGAAAGGTGGAAAAAGTGCATCATTTTTTTCATCATTCCTGATGTATGGAGAAGATGGGAATGAGAGTGGAGGGTCAGAAGGAAAGCTAAGGATTGGAGGCCTTCCTTATTTGGGTAAGGTTCTTCAGCAGCCTGTTCTGTTCCTGATCATGGTTGTGCCTTTTTATTCTCATGACTAAGCTCTGACTTGATTTGATGAACCATTTAGAAGACTGTCTTTGAGATACAACTTTTTCCTGGTCTTGATTTTCCTGTCCTACCCTGTTTCCTAGAAGGGTTATTTCCTCTAATGGTTGTATTTCCCAGGCACTGTCCCAGCCTCCTTCCTTCCTCTACTCTCTATTCCTGACCAGTCTCGATGGTTCACTCTCAAGTTATCTCTGACATTCTACCACAAAGGCCCCCAGATTTGTGGATTTTTCAAAGCTCTAGACTTGCCTATCCAGTTCCCCCTGCATGACTTCTCTGATTAACTCCATAATTCCTTTTCCTATTTCTAGTAGTCCCTGAGCACCAAAGCCAGGCCATGCATTGTCTCATCCTGTGCATCCAAACAGGTCACCGGCATTGGGTTCTCAACTGTGGCCACATGTACACACTGTCTCTGGAGACTTGTACACGTGCTGACCTGGAGCCCACCTCAGACCACTGAATCAGAATTTCATGGGCCACAGCCTCCTGAGGTGATTCTGATGTTCACCCTGAAAATAACTGTGAAATGTTTCTCTAACACTCCAAATTATTTCCCCCCATTGTTGCTTTGCTTTAGGCCTTTGTAGTTCTCTGTGGCTTTCATAACAAATTAGCACAAGTTTGGTAGCTTCCAACAACAGATGTTTATTTTCCTAGAGTTCTGGAGGCCATAAGTATGAAGTCAAGATACTGGCAGACCATTGCTTCCTTCATCTAGACCAAGGCTCTAGGTGAGAATCCCTCCTTGCCTCTTCCAGCTTCTAGTGGCTCCAGGTGGTCTTTGGTGTGTGCTTCCTTAACTCTGATCCCTGTGTGCCATTCACAAGACATGCACCATTGGATTTAGGGCCCCACCTCTAATCTACGTTGATCTTCTGGGATTCTTGATTACAATTGCAAAGATCCTTATTTTGGAAAGCCACATTCACAGATTCTAGGACATGGCTTGGGAGAGGGACACCATTCCAACAACTACACACTTCCTCTGGTGCTCTGATATACTCCTTTCTACTGACTCTCAGTGCCTCTAATCAATGGTACACACACTGTACCCTTGAGTTCTGGCTCCTGTCTGTCTCTCCTTTCCGTTCTTTTCCTGCTGCTGCTTCTCTTCTTGAAATTCAGCTCTTGTAGCCTTGCCCCCCTGGAAGCACTTGGTCGTTTGTGGAGTCTGCATTTAGTTTTCTACCTGAGATTCAAGAAAGTTCAAGTGATTTCTTCCTAAAGCTCTGCGCTGCTCTGTGTTGCTGGTCCCATGTGTTTTTCTCACAGCTGTTTTTTGTGTTTTTCTTCCCTTGTAAGCAGAGAGCTCTGTGAAAGTAGGAAGCTGATATTTATCATCGTACCTCTAGTACTTGGCACTATAAATATTGAATGAATTGTCCTGTAGCTTAATCTAATTAGGGCCTTGTCTTATCTTGACATTGCTTTTTCCACCATGAGTTTAATTATTTCCAGTAGGATTTTTTATACCGTTATCATGTAGATAAGTTAGTAGACAGCCTGTAAGTAGGCTGGTTTATTATTTGCATAACATGCAATAGCTGTACATCAATGAACAGGCAATTTAAATTAAAATGTTTTCTGCATGTGTTGAGGTTGATACTTGTACCTGCTTTTCTCCCACTTTATATTGGATGTGGCTTCAAACTTGTAAATAGCAGATACTAGCCTGGCTTAGCTGAAACTTAAAAAGGGGAAATTCATGAACAGTATGCTGCGGCCATTAGGCACCCTTACAAATCCTCTTTCCACCTTTATTTGCTTATTGTCTCTGCTTCATTCATCCTTTTCTCTGTTTTTTGGCCTTTGTGCAAATTTGACATCCCCCCCCCCCATCTCTTATCCACTCAAAGAGACAAGTTAGTTGTTCCTTGGCTCAGTTTTATTTTTCTTAGGATGAGGATGTTACTGACCAGTGAGGATGAGATTTCCATGTTTGACTGGATAGGTCCTGGGTGACAGGAGGCCATCAGATTCAGACCCACTGCTGGGCTCATCTTTGGGAGTTAAGGGACAGAAAGATGCAGGGGAGGGCTGCGTCAGGATGAGAGGCAGAGGAACCATTGCCAGATAATACTGCATTAGTCATAGCTAGGCCACAGGAGTGAAAAGTCCTTCCAACTCTCCTCTTGGCTTTTAATTGGCTTACATATGTTAACCTTATTGTAGAATGTTAGCGTTAGGTGCTGTGAAAAAATCTTAAAACAAAGTGAGTTTATGATGGACATTTACTCATGAAAACAGTGATCACAAATTCCCTTAAGAAAATAATGTACATTTTTCTGATCTCACCTGAGAAAAGGGAGAGGAATGACTTGAAATACATCATCTCTTTATTCTAGAGGCATTTTTATATAGCTGACATTCCTTTGTGATGGGGCAGGGAAACAGAGCAAGCACAGTGATAATAACTTCCAGGGATACTGTAAAACCATTGTCTGGATACAGCTACTGACTCAGCTCTTAAAACCCACACATGCTAAATAAGCCCCTTTGTTCCAGCTTCTACATTCTCAGTGGGCCTCACACCCCACTTCCCTTCCCCACACTGGCAACCTTGAACCTCTTTGCATTGGGCTACAGGACTAGAAAGCCAGGTGTCTGGACAAGACCTTTAGAACAGAAACAGCCACCAGCTGCCCCCTAACTTTGATGTTCTGAGGGAATACTAAAGCAACCATGTTTCTCTGTGTACATTTTAAGTGACTCTTTTTCCTCGTGTTTTGTTTTTGCAGACCTGGAATTTGAACTCCAGCCAGGGAGGATTCTTTCTAATCACTTAAGCCACACCCTTAGCCCCTTGTTCTTTTCCTCAGAGGAACTTCAGCCAAAAGTTCAGATAGACAGTGGTCATGCCATGAGGAAGCATGTAACACAGGCCCAAAACTTCCAAGGATAGCTTAAGCCTGTATTAGAAAATAGAAACAACTAGCTACCATTATGCATTTCTTCTAAACATTGACATTAGCCAAAAAAAAAAGTCTATTTCAAGAATGTGTTTTTTGGTGACTTTTTGTTGTGGTGGTGGTACTTGGATGTTGAGCTCACGTTTGCTAGGAAAGCGTTATTACTAAGCCATGCCTTTTTACACTGTATTTTTGGCATAAAGTCTTCCTGCCTAAGTGCACCTGGGCTGTGATCTGCCTATTTTAGGCTTTGTTTGTGGCTGGAATGACACATATGCACCTTTATGCCCAGCTTCTGTTGAATGGAGTTTTCTGCCTGGGCTGGCCTGGAACTATAATCTCCCTCAATCTCAGCCTTCCATGTGGTTTAGAATAACAGGTAGATACTACTGCACCTAGCCCTGGGTTAAGAAGGGAATTTTAGGAACTTTTCTTCCCAGGCTGGACTTGAACTATGATCTTCCTGCTCTTAGGTTCCCAAGGAACTACAAGTATAGGCATGGTGTGACTTGTTGGACTTGTTGGACTACGACTCACGTATGATGTGTTCAAGATCTTTTTTGGTGACTCCAACAGTGTAGGGTTCAAATGAAAATGGGAATGAGTATAGAGAATTCAAAAAAAATTTTTTTAAGGCAACTCAGTTTGGTCTTCTTACAAATAAAGATCTTACAGACATCATTAACATGAGTGGGGAGAGATGAGGTTTAATGAGTATGCTATTTTCTTACTAGTTCACTTAAAAATATTTCTCGAGTGTTTCTCTGGGGTCCATTAGGATGATGCTAGCTGAATTAAACCAGTGATAATAAGGCCTGGACAGAATAGTCATTTGCTTATTTATACTCTTGCAGAAAAGACTTAGAGAGCCTGACTTTATAGGAGAGAAAACCTATAATTACTTGTACATCACTCTTAAATTATTTCTGGAAGTGATTTGCATTTTCTTACAGCTGATTTCTGCGTTGCTGCCCTTGCCGTCTATATGTGACGTTTAGCAGGCAATTATTTATGACCATTCCTGCCTTTTCCCTTATTCCATCTGATTTCATGCATAGAACTTTTGAGATTTTCAAAAACAAAAAAATGAGCTCTTTCATCTCTGTTTTCAGGTACAATGGTGCTTTACCTAATGGAGACAGAGGACGGAGGAAAAGCAGATTTGCCCTCTATAAGCGGCCCAAGGCTAGTGGCGTCAAACCCAGCACTGTCCATGTAATCTCCACACCCCAGGCATCCAAGGTAAGTGGGCCTGGCAGAGTCAGGCAGGCCTTGGAAACCAGTGACTCACAGCTTCCTAGTTGGCTGTTCCCTCTCATGTGTGACCATTGGAGGTGGGGTAGCAACTGTGAGAGGCAGGCTTGTGTATTGCAGGATGTTCAGCAGCATCCTTGGCCTTGACCCACCAAATGCCAGTGGTACTCCCCTATCTCCACAATTGTTAACAGACCCAAATGCTTGCCCTGTTGGAAACTACTGCTTTAGTATATGAGGCTACTAGTGTTACCAAGTTAGAGTAGTTGTGATTGGAAGATACATGATGTGCTCAAGAGTTTTTGTATTGTCTTGATATAAATGTGTATTAATTAAATTACAGTTGCTGTGCCCATGAAATAATGGAAAGAAAGAAAGATATGAAGTAAAGTTATGTGTTTATAAGAAGTCTGTTTACATATGTTATGGGAAGAAATTTGATTTGAATTGAATGATAAATTGAAAGCAATATTATAGTGTCTCATATGTTTTCTGATATATAAGCAGAGGGCAGGTCTTGAGTTTCCATTCTGATTGATATATTACATGTATTAAGTTTTTTATGTTCTTAGAATGTTTTTTTGATGTATAATACGGTTTTCTTTTCTGTGAATAATGATATTTACCTGTGGTATTTCACCTGAGGCTATGGCTGTACATTTTATCCCTGGCCTGGACCATCCAGAAGAAGTTAAGTTTTGGTTCCCATTTTTACTGCAAACTAACATTCAGAAAGCAGTGGTAGCTCTTTGGAATCAAGTGTGTGCTGTTCCTAAATCAGAACCTGGAGACAGTCATAACCTTACCAGTTAGATTGTTCTATCAGTGAGCAAATAGGGAGAGAACAATGTAAAGCACTAAGCAATTGGGGAAGGGAAGGTTAATATTCATTAGACAAGCTTTGACTAAAATAAGAAATAAGTATTTTAGGGAGAAAAAGACATTTTTATTAGGGAAACTAAGGAAATCCAGTTTTACAGAGATTCTAAGGAACGAAGAAGGTAAAATGGCAACAAATCTTGGAAGTGGTCAAGTAAAGGTAAAGAATACTTTTTAGTCCAAAAATACTTGCAGAAGGAAACCAAGACAGATAGTGGATTTTTCTAAGAATTAAGTATGTCAGGAGGCAACAATGCTTGATAAGAAATGTACTCATTATCTTGCTCATGTAACTCTAACCCCTCTGTGTACAGTATTTTCACAATAAAAAAAGTTATTTAAAAAAGAATTAAGCATGTCATGAGTACCATTTCTCCTGTCTTTCTGTCTGAATTCCTTCCTTCCTTCCTTCCTTCCTTCCTTCCTTCCTTCCTTCCTTCCTCCCTCCCTCCCTCCCTTCTTTCTTTCTTTCTTTCTTTCTATCTTTCTTGCAGTAATTGGGGTTAAAATCAAGCCTCATATTTGCTATGTAGACACTGTATTGCTGAGCTGTACCTCCTGCCTTGACAGAAAGATTTTGGTATTATAAATTTGTTCCTAAAAGTTTGGTGTATTTTTGGAAATTTATCTTTCTTTTTAATCTGTATTACTGTACCTTCTTATATTTAATTTTTTTAATCGTAAGTTTTATATTAATAGAAGGGCTGATGCTTGAAAATCATGGAGATCTTACTTTGATTACTCAAACTTTGTTTTGTGATATAATGTAAAAACTTGGCTCCTAGGAGGAGCCCAGCTGCTTTTCCTCTTTTTATGCCTAGTTTCTGTTGTCAGTTATGCATTTTTTTTGGCTAGTTGTCTAGGTCTGTCTTTAAACATATTACCAATAGTACTAATAGTAGGGCAAACCAGATTTTGGGCTTGATTTCTTTTGTCTTAGCCCGGGGAAAAATAGCTCTCCAAGGCTTCAGGCTTCTCAGTTTACTGAGTATAGGAAGGAGTTAAGTTGAGTCAAATAAGCAACAGAAATTCTGGCTACAAAATTCCCAAAGTTTAAAAAATGATGATAGGATAAAGTTAGAAGTAGCTCTCAGAATCAGAAAAGTTGAATAGCCAAGTTTTGTGAGAGGAGAGAAGCAGAAACAATGGTAGTTAACATGAGTTTTCTTTAGTATGAAGTGACTGGACTCCAAGCACCTTTTCTGTCTCTTCTAAAAGTTTCAAATTTTCAGACAAGAGAATCTGATAGACTGAGCCTGGGTCACCCAGCCATGGACAATGTAGATAGCTAAACGAAGTATATTTATTGTGAGCTGATCACTATCCAGTGCTGACTTGACCTTGTCTGTCTTTGTACGTTGATCTTGAGAGCCTTGTACTGAATTATGGTTTGTGTAGTGACTAGGTAGAGTCTGCCACCTTTGCACTCCATGATCCTAGGACCTGAGTCTCAAACCTTATTTCCTTCTGGTCTTTAACAGTCTTACATCCCTAGCCAGCATGGCCTTGCTACTCCTGCTGCTGAATTTGTTCTGTTGGTCCTTTAGCTTTGGAGCCCCATTATGCTGTGAGCAAAGCCCCTTATGTATCTGAATCTGATTGCGTTCTTGTGTAGTGTATGATGTTTAGGATTGAATCACAGGCCTGTGCATACCAGGCAAGCAGTCTACCACTGAGCTCCCTCCTAAATCCTTCTGAGCCTGATTGTGAAGTAATGTATCCTTATTACTTTCTTTTGGGTCTCTTCCAAAAAGAGTTTGTGGAACTACAAATGAATTTATTCTGCTGCTTTCCTGCCTCATTTTTACCGTATTTACTCAAACTACCTCTTCCCCAACTACTGCTGAGCTTGCAAACCGACAGTCTACTCTTCCATATATTTCAGTGACTTGGTACCTAGCCCTGCCATTTTCCCTGACCCCAATAGCATCTGTGGTTCATAGGATTGTAACTCAAAAACTTACTTTTATTTACTTTTCCCATTGACACTATTATCTATTCATTCCTGTGTGTGTACTTTCTAATCCTCAGTCATCAGTGTACAGCTCTTTATTTAGCCTGTCCTGATTTGAAGTGGTTGTTGGCTTCTCTTGACATGTGCTAACTCTACTCCAGACTCTCTTTCTCTGGTGCTTTTCTGAGATCCTCTCTTTCTGAGTCTCTGGGCTGGTTTCCTTCTCCTTTAAGAATACCAGTGTGTGTAGTGTACCTGACAAAAAGTTCTTGGCCTGAATTGATAATAGTTTGCCTCTACTTCTGAGTGGTAATGAAAGGTGCATCTTCGTTGAATTGTAAAGTGAGATTTCTAGACGGGAGTGTGTGTGTGTGTGTGTGTGTGTGTTAAAATTTGAACATGTGCTTTTTGACTATATTTTTTTTCTCTGTCCCACAGTCCTGGGGCAACAGCTGTGAAACTGGAGCATGAGTCTCCCATGTATGCATGCCATTATTCAAAGCAAAGGCAGATTAGGATGGCAATGGTGTGCTACTGTTGTATATACTGTTGTATTTGTGTACATATTTGCTCTTGGAATAATACAGGTGTTTCTCTGATTATATAATGTGCTTTTAAAAAAAAACCAAAATTCCTCTATTTTAATTCTGGCAGATCTGTTACATAGACATAGAGCCTATTAATCTATTCACCCATTTTTTCAACAAATATTTATTCAGCACCTTCTATGGCCGGGCATCATGCCAGGTATTGGCGAGACTGCAGTAAACTGGAGCCTTACTGTCCAGTGAGTGAGCAGACAATGAAGAGTCCTGTGACTACACAAGCAGCTCTGCCTTGGAGCATCAGTGTGGATTGGTTAGACAGGGAGGACCTGTGAGCAAGTGATGTGTGACTTGCCACCTGAAGGAGGATGTGAAGTGGTAAGAAGAGTAGAGAGCCCAGAGCCTGGCTGGTGGAGTGGCATGATGTGACTGAACAGTTCTGCCAGTTTACATGCACTCGTTTATATTGCCATGTTGTGGAGGAGGCTGTTTTGCTGTTATTCTGCCAGTAAACAATGTGATGATGGTGGTAGTGTTGGTGCTGGCGCCTGATGGGGGATATTTTTCAAGCAGCATGTTAAATTTAGCAGCAGTATTATTACTATGGAAAATTCTTCATGCTTTTCCCTTTTTAGATTATGCTTTATTGAAATCTCCTTTTTTGGATATTTTCAAAAAGTAATTGGAAATCACTTTGCTCCAGTCCACATATTTTGGGATGGAAAATATCAGTAGTCTCCGAGCGATAGTTTAAGGAAAGATTAAGGCTGTTTAATGTGATTACCATGAACAGGACTACTCTTTAGCCTGTGTTTTCGTCAGATTCATTGTATTCGATCAGGAAGTTTATTTGGCTCACTGGTATGTTGTCTGGAAGGTAGCAAGGAGACAAGCCCAGGTAAAGGCTGTCATTAACTAGTCTCTCAAAATAGCTGGCTTCTCACAGGAACTAACCCAGTCCTTCTGCCCCCACCTACTCTGTGAGGCCAACATTAATCCCTTCCGAGGACAGTACACCCACCCCTAAAGATCCATCACCTTTCAACACTGCCAGACTTGGGACTAAGCTAGTGGCACATGAACTTTTGGGGACTTGACCGGTCCAAATGATAACAGTCTGAGCAGGTGTCACTCTACTATTTGATACCATATTGAGATCCGTATGGATCTACGAGCAATACTTACTGTAGGAAGTCATCAAATTAATATAATTTCCACACAAACTCAGTAGCTTAGTCTAGTTTTGCAGAATACAGTCCATTTTTGAAGGACATACTGTCATCCATGCCCTGATTATGGAAGACACATCATCCCTCCAACATCTACATGGAGCTCTAGAACCTTCTTAGTTTTAGGAGAATCATGAATTTCTCAGTTTTCCCAGCTTCCCTAGCTGCTACTGTTTTTAAGTACTTGGGTTTTACATTGTTCTTATTTTGGTTCCTGTCATGCTACTGTATTGAATTCTAGGGTTAGTGGCGTGTGGTGTTTGATTTTATTTTTTCAAGACAGAGTGTTGCTGTGTGGGTGTTGAACTTGGTATCCTTTTGTCTCTGCTTCCCAAGTTCAAAGTGTATAGCCATGTAACACCATTCGTGACTGTTTGCTAT